CTTCCGTAAAGCACTTACCATTCGAAATCAAAACATCTTTAATAAGAGAATGAAGTTCTCTTTGTATTGAACTAAAGAGAGAGGATTGAGTGTAGACTTCTTCCTCTTCGAGTGTCATGATACTCATTGTTGAGTGTATGGTCTCAATATTCGTCTTTCAATACGAAGACGCGCTTGTATTCGCCACACAATTTTTATAACAAAACTCTGAGATAAAGAACTGGGTACTACCCGCAAGGGGTTACTATCTGATGACTAATCTCGCCCCTAAAAACAACTTCCACAAATCAAATGTGACATCTTGCCTCGATAGGAGAAAACTATCTTTTCAAAAAGGATATGTTACGTTCGTTCTACCGAAAACAGGTAACGCCTAAGTCTCCAACGAGCGAGCATCATTACACCTAAACTGCTAGAATGCGTATGATAGCATCATCCACAAAAACACCGGTTAACCGTATCACGAACTATGTTGCTCTGATTTCTCATGCCAGATGAGAATACGTAGGCACAAGACGACGATGTCTTGGCAAGCACCCCTTTCTTTCCTTTACCCGTAGTAGGCCGAACTACGACTGCTCTTATTCTTTACCTCTTTTAAGTAAAGATACATAGGCACGAGGGCCCCAATCCTTGCCGAACAAATTCCCCTCTTTTACCCGTGGTTCCCCGAACTACGTCGAATCTGAATTTCTCATATCTGTTGAGAATATATAGGCCTAGGACCGCGAAGTCCTACCGAGTCTCTCTCCTTCCCCTGTTACCTCTCTTTCCCCTGTTTCTAACCCTTCTCTTTACCCCGTTAGAACACTCTTATAAGCAATATATTTTAGCAGATATCTTCACACGTCAACAAACAAATGGTTCCCATCAAGTACGATGGATGCGAGGGGTGTTAATACCTTCCCTTCGTATAACCGGCTTCCGAACCCGTTCTTGGTCGCGAGACCATCTTATCCGTTCATTTCTTAGGGTTTTCTAGATGTTTTCCCTTCCCCTCATGGGATAAATAAAGTTCGATGGCGACTCTTCTGTCTTTTATTCTCGCCTTCCCCGTCGTTGCACGATTTTTCAAGTAGCGACAGTTATTTAATCAAATTTACTCCAAACCTCACTCATACGCACTCATTCACTTTCATTTTTCATCTCAATTTTAGAATTTTGCTCTCAATTCTCTCTCACTTTTTCATTCTCAAACTTCATCTTCAACCTTTCACCAAAGCTCCATATCCATATATTCACAAATTTGTGCATTGCAATTTGTGAATTCTTGAGTTAAAACTTCATCACTTCATCATTCTTGATTCAATTATGCATTTGAAGCTTGTTTGGATATGGATTCAGATTTTGGAAGCTATTCTTGAAGGAGCTTTGAAATGAGTTCATCACATTGCTTGGATCTTGAAGTCTTTTGCTAGGATTTTGGATTTCTTGTGTTATATCTGTCCATTTTCGTTTACAAAACTTACCAAATAAAATCTCAACTTTGTAGGTTGGTAAATTTCAGATCTATACTTGATTTAGCTTAATTTCAACTTACGCAATGTAGATCCTTGGCTTTTGTTGTGATTTGATCTGTTTGCTTGAATTTGATTGTTTGGTAATCGTGTTTGTTGATATAATTGGTGTTTGATTACTGTAACCTGATGTATTTTCTGTGCATAATTGTTTGGTTAATCATTTGGATGATTGGATAAGTCATTTGCAACTAGAAGTGCTTTTAGAAAGCTGATTTTCTGCCACTGTCTCACTGGTAATCGATTACCACTATCAATGTAACTGATTACCCTGTTCAAATTTTGCACAATCTGGCTATTTTTCAAAGGAGTAATCGGTTACCCATATATTGGTAACTGATTACCACTGAGACATAATGTGTTTTGGACCTGTTTCACCCCACATGACAATATGTTTGAGTTTCTTTGACACGCGACTTTTGGTTTCTGATTCGCATGTACAAGATTTGTTCGTTTTGCATTCTTAATATGATGATCATGTTGCATAACTTTTTGTACCACTGTGATTGCTTGTTCTTGATGTTTACATTGTTGGAAATATGATGCATGTTCATGTTGTTGTCGATTACATTATTGCGTGTTTGTTTTAAGCGATTAATTGTTGAATTATCTGTATTGCTTTTGATGAATGCTTAAACATGTGATGCTTTTGGCTTGTTCATGCCTTTTTGTTTGAGTTTAATTTTCCACAAAAGTGAATTGTTTTCCCTTGCTTGATGCTTGCTTATGTTTATAATTCATGTATATTTGCTTAAGTGTGAAAGCATGTTCTCGTTTTTCTCTTTTGGAACACATGATTATGTTTGATGCTTGAATATGTTCATTGTTGTTTGATCAATCTTAGATGCATACTTGATTATGTGGTATGATGTTACATGTTTGTACATGTTTAAGGCATATCCATGAGCATTTGTCTTGATGCATAACATGCTGCTCTAGTGAGTTCATGACTGTTGTGTAGAATAATAGCTGTTATATGTTGTCTTTTACACATGTTTCTACCTAAATGCATGTGTTGTTATAAGCTGTCTTACTTGTGTGCTGGATTTTATTGTTGTTTTATGTAGGAAGCGTTGTTGTAGCTGCTACTTTTGCATTTATTTTCTTGCTTTTGGTTTGTTTTTGCATGCTCCCTTAAGGTCTCCTAGTCTAACTTCATTTTTTATTAAGCTTGGAGTAGGATAGACATTAGGAGTTTAATCCATGCATGATAACATTAGGTTAGTTCCTTTTAACCTCAACCTTAGTCCATCTTTTGCATGCTAACATTAGGATTGAAGTTCCTTTCGCATCCCGACCTTAGGGCCACTTTGCATGATAACACTAGGACCAAGTTTCCCTTTAGACCTTCCGTGCGTCTTTCTTTTCTTCTCATCTCAAAACAACTTCAAAACACTTAATAAATATGATGAACATTGTGCGCCATGAGGCTTAAGTATGTGGGAAATCATGAGTGGGGGGTCTCTCCTTACTTGTCTAGGGTGTTTAGTGTACGTCCCATCTGGGGGCGATATGCGACGCACTCGCTCCTATATCATAGACTTTAGTGCAATGTGAATCTCAAATCAAATTAATTCATTTCTTTAAAACTCACCAACAAATTCAAACTTTTTTCATCCTTCGGGATCGTTCGTCAAACCATTTTCAGAAAGAGTACGTTATTTTTTCTGTTCTATCGCAAACAAGCATCAGCCCTAACTGCTAGAATGGGAACTTAACGTCGCTCATAAAAAACACTAAGAAACCTGTGGTTAGCCGAACTATGGCTGCTCTAATTTCTCATACCATATGAGGATAAATAGGCACAAGACGACGATGTATTGGCGAGCAAACCTTCCCTCATCACTTGTAGTTTTCCAAACTACATTGACTCTGACTTTCCCATTGCACGAGGGAATACGTAGGCATAGGGAGACGATGTCCTATCGATTCTCCTTTTCTTTTCCCCGTTCCTTTTCCGTTTAGCAGTAGGTTTTAGATAACACACCCTTCAATTAGACAACAAGTGTGGATCCCGTTGAGTACAATGGACACGATGGGTGCCAATACCTTTCCCTTGCATAACCGACTCCCGAACCCAAGATTTGATTGCGATGACCTTGTCTTCTCCCTTCTTTAGGGTTTTTTCGATCATTTTTTTTTCTTCGTTGGGATAAATAACGTTTGTGGCGACTCTTCTGTTTTTTCGCCAGGTGTTTTTCGCAGTTGCGACACTTATGTCCTTTCCCCTCACTTATTTGCCACTTGTAACTTGGTTAGTATTGTCTGGTATAGGATTTTCAGTTGGATGAGGTGGCAGGTAGATTTGTCTAGGTAGCCTAGTCTTCATTTATAGAGTTTTCTTTCTTTAGGTTGTAGAGTGAAGTTTAGGGGGAATTTTATTTGATTTGGCATGTTGTGATTTGGACAATTTTGAGAGTTCAAAATGAGGTTGTGTTTTTTAATTCTACAACAAACATGAAAGATGTGGAGGAGACAAATATTTTTTTGGTTTAGAAATGACTTTGGAAAATATCACTTTAGAGCTCTTGCACTTTCTCAAAATAGCTTCAAAATCATATCCTTTGAATTTATCAATAGTGAATCAAGATTTTGACAAGATAGAGAGTGTGTTCTTTCCTCTTTTTTTTTTCTTTAATGATTTTTTATCCGGTGTTAGTAGTTCAGCTGTCCTGAACTCTAGCTTAATTTTTTTAGGTGCGGTTCTTAGAGGGGGGTTATTTCGAAGTTATTGTGGTGGTTTGTTTTGATTCTTGTATTTGTAGCTTTTTCTACTTCATTTTGTTTGTTTGATATCTTTGTGGTAGCTTTGGATATATTTTGTACCATCCGCCGACTTATATGTATCATATTTAAATTCTTTTATTTAAATACTTCACATTTATCATTTCCCCAAAATAAAAAAATACTCCAAGCTCGTGTATCTATATATCGTCCTAGATAATTAGTGTAATCTTTTTTTGATAAATAATTAGTGCACTAATTTTGAATTAATACAATTAATTAACTATAATAAAACAAAGTACGATAAAATGTTTGGGCTAATTAGTGAAAGATCTACTTAATAACATGATTTCCTACTGTACATTTGAAAAGTGATTAGCGGTCAATTTTGATTAGTTCCATTAAATCTTTTAACCCATTTAAAATTATATACAAAAAAAATCCCAATAGTTTATTGGTACTATCTCCGTAAAATTATGCCGCGTCAAACTAGGTCTTTATTAGGTTGAGAGGAACAAACTTAATTCAAGGACAAATATATATGATTATCACAAGAAGAAAAAAACAAGAGACTTGAAGTTAAAACTTTTCACATACATATGATAATTCCAAAACTGCTTCACATGTGATCAACAAGATTCTGTGTCCACATCCTCTTTATAAACCAACAGATATTGTTTAGATTTCTTTGTGTAAATTATAACTTCTTTCTATATCTTGTGAATGTGAGAGAGAGAGAGAGAGAGAGAGAGAGAGAGAATGGTTTCCAAGGCTCACAAGAGAACAGCCATGTACAGAAACTTACAACTGCTACGTTCCATCACATACTCCACTTCCGTGATTATTCTCATACTTCTCTTTCTATTCTCATCATCCAATTTTTTTTCTTTATCATGATTCATAACATCTTTTCCACTTCATGTTATATTTTTGAAAGTACTATATTTAGTCATGCATCATGAATGTTTCTTTGTGTTAATGTAGCAAAGGAAAAGTTCAGTGATATTGGAAGCAACAGAATACATACAAGATTTGAAGCATAAACTGGAAGAACTGAACCTGTTAGCAGTTGCAACAGCACAGAAAGTTGTTGAATATGATCCAATGCCTAAGGTACATATATTATAAACAAGAACCTGATTGATTTTTTTTCTTCTTTTGTTGAAACGCGTAATAGATATATAGACAATAAAGAGAGTACAAGGGATATTCTAACTCAACAGAGAAACAAGTACAACACCATAACATATGATCAGAGTTGGATTAATAATTGATTTGAGTTTGTTATTATTGATTTTGTAGCTTAAGGTTGAGGAACAGGAAGAGAGGTTTGTGATCAAGGTGCTGAGTGAGAGGAGTTGCAAGGGATTGCTAGTGTTCATCTTGGAAGCCTTTGAAGAACTTGGTCTTGAAGTTCTGCAGGCTAGGGTTTCTTGTGTTGATAACTTCTGTCTAGAAGCTGTTGGGAACAAAGTACGTATTTGCTAATGATATATATTATATAACACAAACAAAAAAACAATCACTCATAACTTCTACACAATAACTTATTTTTGCAACATATTTTGAGGCTATGAAGCGCGGACACCCTGAATAGGATTCTGACACTAACACGGGAACACAAACATTTTTTTTCCAGAAGTGTCAGCGCTACCATTGACACAATTAGTTTTATGTGTAGGAGGAGAACAATGAAGATTCTCGAACTTTGAATGTACAATTAATTGAACAAGAAGTATCTCAAGCAATTCAAAACTGGAGTGAAGTTACACAAGATTAATGATCCAACAACAGCTCTTGTATCTGATCAGAATATCTATGGTTATGAATGCTTTAGTTCTCCTACTTTACATGGGTGAAAAAGTTTGTATCTCTGATGAAATTTATTGAATTTCAATTTTTTTTTTAATGATAAATATAATATCTAAAAAAAGGTAGAAATAGTCCACCTAACTACATAGAAGGGTGCTTTCAGAAAGCACAAGAAATAGCAAGCCGATAGAACTTTTTAGTATCACTGAAGAAAACAAATGAAACAAGTATAAAAGAATACTTCTGAATAAAAAATCAAAAACGCCATCAATAAGACTCAATCTACCAAGAGGAAAAGGCTAGATCTCCCCCCGTCTGAACCATGATGAACATAAAGGTAGCAGAGAAGGTACAAAGAGTTGGCCATAAACCTACCCAAAATATCATTTCCACGCATAGAAAATGCTCTTTTTATGTACCTTCTTCACATTTATTGATGAATTAGAAAAAAATGAAATAATTCTAGAAATTCATTATCGAACATATAGCATGTCCACCCCTAAGCTTCGACCTACCACCAAGAAGAAAAAATCCCAAAAAGAGAACTAAGATTAATAGGGAGGACCACTAACCACCCAAACCACTTAAAAAATCAATATCACACTGATAAAGCTACCTCCCAAGTTACTAAAAGATGAGAAATTGATTATACCATCCCCTACACACTCTACCAACAGAGCAGTAAATCTCGTCTAGATTACTATAGTCATATGTTTATAAAAATTCTCTCTAGTATGGATTGTATTTTGCATGAGCTGTTAATAAAAGGTCACCACTTTAAAAGGGTTCCAATTAACCTAAATAAGAGGAAGAATCGACTCCTCAAAGGTGGAGAAAGAAGTTATAGGGGTAGGGAGATTCAGCTCGGCTAAAAAAGTTTATGCATGAGAGAATGGTTTTGTACAGATACATACATGAGTGGAACATCAAGAACATTTTCACTAGTAATCAGATGAGACTTGTTAAAATGTGGAATATTATGGGAAACAATGTTTGAGACATGTTTCCTAACATACAACTTATTACTAAAATTCAAAAGACTATGATGAACATCAATTTCAGCTTTACCAAATAATTTATCATGTTTTTGAAGAGTAAAAATTTCATAAATATGAGAAGAAACTCCAATAGGAAGAGTTAGGCCATAATCAATAATCTTCTTTAGCTTCTTCATCAGAACGACCATAGGTTGTCCAATGTTGGGAGGACCTCTGGCCTGACCATTGGCATTCCCTTCAATGACAACTCTTTGATTGAGTCTCATAAAGTCCATTAGTTGTAATTCAGAAACAAAAGTACGATGTTGAAATATCTTGTATGTCATTTTGGTTTGCTTCTCAACTTGACACATGTCATAACTTTTACCTTCTTTAACATTGAGATTAGACATACATAAGAAGTTCTTCATACTCCCATGTTTTTTATGCCATAGCTTAGTTTTTGTATCTAAAATATCATCTATGATGTCAAGAACATTTTCTTCAACATTCTTGTGGGAGGTACAAGCAATATGAACAAGAATGTTAAGCTTGTCACGTCAAACTTGTTGATGATGCCTTTGAGAATTTTCATTCCACTAGGGATATATATGTAGTTGTCTACCATACAATTTACAACAGTCACAGTGAAAAGGAATGGAGGAGACAAAATTAATGCACTAGTACTCATGAGTGACAAAATATTAAGACATGTTACCTAACATAGTGCATTCTGTTTTCTGTATAGGGGTGGCACATGTATTCTTTAAATTTGATGGCAGTATGTATAACATCTTTCATGTGTTTGATAACCATAATATTGTTTGCTTGATCATTTTCACCTACCTCATCATTAGTGACATTGTAGATGTTTCTTTATTTCCTAGAAAAATTTGAGCATTAAGCTTGAATAAGCCTAAAATCTTTGCATTTTAAGACATTGGATCCAGTTGTAGATTTTGTTTTTCACTATCTTTTCCTTTGCCCTGAAAGTTACACCTCTTGAAATTGTTTTGCTGATTGTCTTGAATATTTGTAGATGTTTTATCAAGTTTCTCATGACTCTACTAAAGATCTTAGCAACCTTGAGATTTTCTTTAGTATCATAATCTACTTGATTTTCACAATCTTCATAATTCTCTTTGGCTATATTCTTTGGAAGATTCTTAATGCCATAAAGAATCTTAGGTCAAAGAACTGCTTCTTCTTGTTTGAAATCCTCCATCTTGAACAAAATAAGAACTCCTGAAACACACCAAAACAGAACAGGGTGTCTGTTCTAATGCCAATTGAAATTTTGTTCAAAGAGGATAAATGTTGGACTAGATGTCTAGGCCACTATGTTCAACATATTAAGCCATAATTCGGTAGATAATAAAAAACAATATGAACAATCATAAAAATAACACAAGATAATTTATAACTCAATTCGGTGCAATCACACCTACATCTTGAGGGAGTTCAACCTAAGACAGGAAATTCACTCTTTATACAATTAGTACAAAGTGTCTTAGATGAACAACTCCTACTTCAATGTCTCTTTTCATAATTCTATATAATTTCTTTCTATTTAGGATTATGCCTAAATATTAGAGCCCTTCTCACTTTCTTTCAATCACTAATGCTAGCGATAAACATAATAATTAGTTTCAAGAATGTTGAATTACAACTCAAATAAACAAACCAAACTTTATGCCTTTGGATATGAATGGAGGCACTAGAGTGGTGCACAAACAACAAACACAAGGAAAGAGTCAAAATAGAAACCCTAACACAAGTTTCGTCAACTTACACACACCTCAAATGTTGATTTGAGTCTCCTTAAATAACAATTTAGACTTCGTGGCTTTTCTTCCTTAGATATTAGCTTTGATCTTGTCCATATCTGTAGAAGATTTAGTTGGATTTGTTTTTTATTTGTTCCACAGAAGGCTCAAACAAAAGATATGATTTGATTTTAATTCAATTTTTTAAATATTCAAATATTTAAATTTGATTTCATTCAGTTTGTCAAAAAAAATCTAATTAATTCATTACTTAAAGATAACAGCAAATCTGATTGAAATACAATCAGAATTTTTGCTCCAAACAACAACAATATTGATCTGCTGACAAGGGTCAGATGTTGCGCACATGTTGGAACATTGTGCCCCACATATGTCCTTTCTTCACCAAAACATCTTGTACACTCCGTGTTGTTATACATAATGCAGCCAATCAAAAGAACAACAAATTATCTAGTGATTGACGCCCCCTCTTCGTATAACATGATTATTAGGCGACTAGCCTTTAACTGATTGTAAGTCGCTTTATCTACTTTGTATTTATGCATTAAATATCCACTCCTAAACGGGAGAGTATGGCTTATTTGGGGAGATCAAGAGATCTCCATAAAGTGTGAGACAGTGAGACTCAAGTTAAAAAGGGTGCGCTTTCCAAGCATGAAAATAAAGAAATCCAACTTTAGGATAACGCCACCCGAAGAGGCGGGCGAGAGCATGGGAGCTTCTTATCCAACCTCACGCGACGATTAAGTTTAAGGTTAGGAGGGAATGCCTTGTTTCTCTTATAGACATTGATGTAGTCATTTTTGTATTGTTATTTGTTTAAGTTGGCAATTATTGATAGGCGAGTATTAAAACTCTGCCAGTTGTAAGGACAAGTTGTTTGTTGAGGTGAACTCTTTTCCCTCCGTGTTTTCCACAGAGGAAAGGTTTTTAATGAGGCACCTCATCATTATATATATATATATATATATATATATATATATATATATATATATATATATATATATATATATATATATATATATATATATATATATATATATATATATATATATATATATATATATATATATATATATATATATATATATATATATATATATATATATATATATATATATATATATATATATATATATATATATATATATATATATATATATATATATATATATATATATATATATATATATATATATATATATATATATATATATATATATATATATATATATATATATATATATATATATATATATATATATATATATATATATATATATATATATATATATATATATATATATATATATATATATATATATATATATATATATAGGGAGTACAAGCTCATAAGGAAGCATCCCATGGAGGCGATTACATATGTTGGATCCCCAAAGTGGTATCCTTTCCGCCCATGAAGGCGATTGCACTTGTTGGATTTCCAAGATGGGATCCTTTTCGTCTAATGAGGCAAAAACACATGTCGGATTCCCAAGATGGGATCCTTCTCACCCATGAAGGCGATTACATATGTTAGATCCTTAAGATGGATTCCTTGGCATCCATGGAGTCGATTAAATATGTTGGATCCCCAAGATGGGATCCTTGTCGCCCATAGAGACGATTACATACATTGGATCCCCAAGATGAGATATTTTTCGTCCATAGAAGCAACTAATGGATCCCTAATATGGGATCTTTGCCGCCCATAGAAGCAACTAGATGCAGTGACCATTGGTCTCCATCTGATTGGCAAACTTCTGATGATCTTCTTTACATGATCAGTAGTGGATTAGCCTTTGTCCAGCACTTTTAATCCAGCTGTGAGGATCTGGAGTCTAGAGAACATAACTTCTATAGATTCAGATTCCTCCATTTTGAAGGCTTCATATTTCTGGATCAGCGCCAGAGCCTTGGTCTCTTTTACTTGTGAGTTCCCTTCATGAGTCATCTTCAAAGACTTAAACAAATCAAATGTTGTTTCTCTGTTGGTAATCTTCTCATACTCAGTATGAGATATAGCATTTAATAAGATTGTTCTTGCTTTGTGATGATTTCTGAACTCCTTTTTTTGAGCTTCAGTCATAGATTTTCTATCAATTTTCTTGCCATCCCCATCAGTGGGGTGAACTTAACCATCAATGACTAAGTCCCAAAGATCAGCATCATATCCAAGAAAGAAGCTCTTTATTCTGTCTTTC